AGCTGTTTATTTGACCTCGTACCTGCGTCGGGCTGATCTCTACCAGATACAGCGGCTGGATACTGAGGATTAACCCACACGCCAGGCCGGTGACAAACACTCCCGCCGCGTACAGCTCGAACGATTCGGCTGTGCTCGCCAATCCGCTCAACAGGGAACCAACCATGGACATCACAGCCGTGATATACATCGAGTTCTTCCGGCCGAACCGCTGCGACACAAGCGGCGTGAATAGCGTTCCGAAGATGTTGCCAATCGGCAACAGGTTGACGGTAAACGACCATGCTGCGCGGAACCCCTGATCGTTCAGCTCGGTGTGGTAGTGCCGTAGTGACGTGTCGTTTAGCAACCTTTTCATGATGCTTTCTATGGGGTTGAAGGAGATGAGCCTGAACCCAAAATGGAAGCTGCCCCCGGCGCAGATCACAATCGTCGTCAGCAATATTCGGCTGTCGATGTGAGTCATGTTCAACGCACTCCTGATGAACGAAGCACCTGTCTACCTGTATGTGGTTGTCGCTAGATCAACGCTTAACGGCACAGATGCCTCTTTCGCAGGCAACTCCCACGTAGCTTATCGTCGAACTATCTTCCACCAAGTTTTTCCTTGTATTCTCCAAACGATGTTTTTACTTTTGCTAAACGGCCATTGGCCAGACGTGCAAAATAGTTCATCAAGAAGTAAATCAATTTCAGAGAAAAACCGGAGGTTGGAAGTTAGCCGTTATGCGACGTCATCCGTCTCTGTCCAGAAGTGACGTATGATTGGTTCCAACAGGTGAACCAGGTATGTCGGTCTGTCAGGCATTTGCCTCATCGAGTTTCAGCGACTCAGCAACAAGCGCGTCTGACCCAAATGTGTGTTTAAGGGCATCTGCGTCTGAAGCTTGGATCATCGTTTGACGCTGCAGCAGCGACAGCCGAAATTGGACTACGCTTCCGTTATCCGTGTGTCATTAGTCTTTCTGTGCCATTAGCGAGTTTTTACTTAGTTTCGCACATTAGCCCCCAGCGTTCCATCGTTGCATAATCATCGACCGCGAGATTAACGTTGGCAACAGCCTCCAAGCTCAAAGGCCACCTACAGTCCAGCACGGTTAAGGCGAATATGGCTTTAAGCCACAAGAAGCCGCATTCAGAAAAAGTTGCACCGTCCGTCCAAGTTCTGTTGGACGGTGAGTTTAGGATCACGTGGTAGCTGACGTAACGACGCGTTTGTTTTTGCACCATGGCTGCAATGACAACGGGGGGGGGCATCTGATGCTGATTATCACATCTGATAGTCGCCCTTTTGGGATTGAAGGCGAACTGCAGTCCCCAGGAAACGCTCGCATCAGGAAACATGGTCGTGCATTTCGTCAGTTCTTGACAATCACCGCGGAATTGCAAGTCAGTGCATTCCTACCCGGTTCTCAGCCGGTTATACTGAAACAGCGTGAGTGAATTCAAGAAAATTGGCGGCCACACGATTTTTTCCGCAATCAGACACCTCTGCAGTTCGAGGCCAATTTTCTACCTTAGTCTCTCCATGATCAGACAGTCGAGCATTTCCAAATCTTTCTGAGTTATGATATATGAATTTTAGTTACACAAGTTCCATCAGGTAACAGGCAGATCTGGCCTCCCAGGAGTTGCTCATTAATACAAATACACATTATGATATTTATGCAGTAGCGTATAGGCAGTGCCAGCTCCTGTAGTCTGATTAGTGAGGGACAAGAGGTTCACTTGAAATATGATGAAACACCGTTAGTGCACAAACACTACATTCTGCACACCAGGCAACTAGGGTGGATGTGGCGCTATGCGCGATTAACATAGTCTTGGAGTGCTTATGCGCCAATTAACACATAGCCTGGCTTGCAAATTTTAATGAGGAAGGTATTGAACTTAAAGATGGATATGTTGTGGGTAATGGTCAATGCTGAAATACATCATAAAACGAAAATCATAGATCACATGTAATGACAATAGTCAGTTGATGCCAGTTGATCCGATGACAGTTCAGAAGCAACGTTTATCCGTATGGTAGAGGTAAACATTTCACTTTCAAAGGCAGATCTTTCAAACAAAGGAAAATTGCACCCATAAGCGGTCAGCTTACTCCTTTGCTTGCAGGGATTTGAAAATGTAGTTCCCGATATCAAGCACTAGCTGTTCCTAAGTTTCTTCGAAAAATTCCCTGAAAACATTTTTACAATATGTCCCAAAAATGAGCTTGAAATCTACTTTCCCAGTATGTTTTTCCTATGATCAACGAGCGATTTATTCAACTATGTAAT